GACACCAAGAGCCAGGAGAGGACGCGGGCTGTCGTGTCCCGCGACCTGGAGACGCTGTCGGACTTCCATTGGAGCCCACGCCTTTGATGCGCCGCTCTATCCCGAGGCTGGGATTTATACATCTCCGTCTCCTGGGAAGCGCACATCTTCCTGGACCCCAGGAGGCGGTGTGTATTGATGTGTTCGGCCCCTGGTGTCCACTCCCCCCTGGGCTATCCGTTTCCGAGGCGGTGGACGTGTGGACATCCCGGCCTTGCACCTACGCCTCGAGACGACGATTGTGAGAGTCCTCGTCGCTTTTGGGGGGGGGGGCTCTCGTGGCCACGGCTGGACGCAGAGCGAAGAGTTCTTGCCCACCTCTCCAGCCCCACATCTGCCAGAATCCACCCAGCACGGGTCCCCAGACACTTCTCGGGTCCATCCTGGCTGGCCGTGGCGCCGGTGCCAACGAGGCGAAGACGCCGCCGGGATCTGGGCGGGGGGGGGGGCGGAGGAGGATGCCTCGCCGCCCCGACGAGAGGTCCCGCCCCGCCCCTGCGCGCCGCGGAGGGGCTCGGTGTGTAAACCGCGTCGTTGGGTCGGCTGCGGAGCCACCCACTCCGGCGAAGGAGCTCGGTGTATAAACGCTCCGGCAGCCCACGGCTCGGGAAGCTGGGGCCTCCATGCACCGAGCTCCTTGCTGCTGTCTTGCCTGTCCAGTGCCGCCTGGTCCGCGGTGCCAAGATCGGTCCAGCAACGCCTATCACATGCACATAGACTCCCCAATGGCACTGCTGCATCCCATGGAGGCGGTCGCACATCTCAGCGTCGGTGCTCGGCGTGTCTTGAGTGTCAAGTTCTCTGGAACAGCGGGCTCCTCGGCCGACCAGGCGACTTGGTGCATGCCTGGAGGGCCCTCCCAGCCCCGACGCAGAGGGCGTCGGGGCCCGCCGGGCGGGCCCCGACGCGCGCCTGAGCGCCACAGAGACATGGCCCGCGTCGCTCCTATCGATCCGACCCGATGCCGGGTGGGGCCCGCTGGGACCGGTTCGGAAAGCCGGGGGCGTGGCTTCCGATGCTGACTCGCTTCGGCTTCGGATCCCGCTCTGGACGCCGACGGCTCAGTCGAGGCCTGCTGGCCTGCCGTTCTCCGCCGAGTGGACCTCTCCCGACTCGGCTGCCGATCTGCGCCGATATCCGACTCTTGTTTGATCCCCCGGCGGACTTGACGGTCCGGTTCTGGGCTCCCGCCTCCCTGCTCGGGTGTTGCCAGAAGTGCCCCTGGCCCAAGGTGCGGATCTCCAATGGGGGCCCCCACGGCCTCCACAGGGTCACCCCACACGAGAGGCACAGAGGGCCCCGGGGGCTCCAAGATTGAGCGACAAGCTGGGGGCTCCTCCTCCTCCTCCTCCTCCTCCTCCTCCTCCTCCTCCTCCTCCTCCTCCTCCTCCTCCTCCTCCTCCTCCTCCTCCTCCTCCTCCTCCTCCTCCTCCTCCTCTCCCTTCTGCTCCCTCTCCTCCTCCTCCTGCTCCTCCTCCGCGTCCTCCTGCAGCGCTCCCGCCAGAGGCTGGGGCTCCAAGGTTGGGCCCCAGGGTCTCCAAGATTGAGGGGCACCTCTGCCAACCTCAGCCACGCGCAGAGGGGGTGGGGGGAGGGGGGAGGCCTTCTTAGAAGCACCCCCGCTTCTTAGAAGGCGCGGGCCTCATCTATAGATGTAAGGCCGGCGCCTTCTAAGAAGCAGCCTCCTTCTAAGAAGCCCTCTCCCCTCCCTCCACCCCGTTTTGCGCGCCGCCAACAGTCCCCGAACTGGTGTCTCTCAGTGTCGGGCCTCTCTGCGCGGCCTCGCCGCCCCGGCGCTGCTCCGCGGCGCCCGCCCTCGTGCTCGCGCTCGGCCTGGCGCTCGGCGCGCACCGCTGGCGCCGCAGCTTTTTGTTGCAGCTCGACGGCGGAGTCTCCCGAAGCCTCCCCCCGAACCCCACATCCTCCCGCCCTCCTTCCCTGGCCTTCCTCCCTCCTGGACTCCTTCCTTCCTTCCCCCCCCCCCTCTTCTCTCCCTGCCTCCCGCCCTCCCGCTCCCTCCTCCCGCTCCTCCATCCCTCCGCTTCCCGGTCCTCCTCCTGCCCCTCCCCCCCCCCTCTTCTCTCCCTCCCTCCCTCCTTCCCGCTCCCTCCCTCCTTCCGATCCCCTATCTCTTCCTCTTTTTCCTCCCTCTCCCTCCCGCTCCTCCTGCCCCTCGCCTCTCCCGCAGGCCTAATTAGGTGGAAGCGGCGCCCGACACGTCTTCCAGGCGCTGTCAGAGATCCCCGCCCTGTCTCTTATATTTGCCTCCATCCGAATTGGTTCTCGTCTTGCCTGCCCCTCCCTTAGGATACAATGCCTGGAAGGTTCGACTCAGCATCGACGCAGGTAAAGCCGTGGTCCAAAACCAGCTTAACCCAGCCGGATCTTGCTTAATCCCGCTTATTCCCGCTAATTCTGGCTTGAATCTTGGACTTAACTTTTCGGGGTGCAATTCTGGGAGGGTGCTACGGGCGTGTGTTGTTGGATGGGGGTCTCCCATCGGACGGGAGCCCCCCTCGGGGCTCGACAACCCGCAGCGGGCTTGATAGCCTGCAGTCGCTCCGACGAAGACCTCCTCCCAGCTGATTCCTCCCCCCCTTCCGAGCCACGAGGGGCGGAGAGGACGAGAGGCTCAGCGGGCGGGCGGGGACCCCGACCCGTGGACATGGCCTTCCTGGCCGTGGCCTGGACTTCGGAGCCATCCTTATGTCGGGCCTTTCCCCCTACAGGGGGATATTTTCGACGAAAAACAAAAAATACCCCAAAAATGCCCCCCAAAGGCAAAACATATTTAAAAATAGTCCCCAGACTATTTTTGATTTTTTTTGTTTTTTTTCATTTTGGGGGTATTTTCTATTTTTCGTCGAAAATCCCTCTGTAGGGGGACAGGCCCGATTTAAAGCCATCCCCGGGCGCCTTCGGGGGCCCCCCCTTGCGCGCGGGGAGCCCCTGCTTCCGCGCGCGGCCGGAGGCGGGGCAAGTACGAGCTCGTGGTCTCCGAGTACGCCCTGAGGCCGCGGCGCCCCCGGCGACGTTTCCCTCTGCGGTTCGTCTCCCCGCGCTGCTCCCCGTCCTGCCTCTCCGTCGTCGCTCCTCCGTTCTGCTCCCACATGTCCTCCCTCCGTCCCACCTCCTTTCTCCGTCTTGGAATTGGCCCTTCCCTGAGCATTCTGCTTGCTGTAATTATGTTAGCAGCCCAGCAGTTTGTGGTGTTTGGGGCGCCGTCCTCAGGAATTCTTCCGTTCTGGGCACCGCATGACGGTCGAGCTCGCCCCAAGTGGTAAAGTACCGCCATAGTTGCGCGTTCGAGAAATTTGAGTTAATTTTTTACTGTCGATCGTGGTGCAGTCTGACTCGTCTCCCAGGTAAGCCCGCAGCCGCCGCCGGCCTCCCATTTCCTCCATCTCTTTTGTCCTCACCTCCCACTCTTCCTCTTCCTTCCTCGTCTCGTTCCTTGTTCCTCCGTCCTCCCTCCTCGTCGCAGTTCCCTACATCCTCCCCCCTCCGTGAACCGTTCCTTCTCCTTCCCCACTCCTCGCTCTTCCCTCCATCTCTCCCTCGCTACTCCCCAGCCTCCTCCATCCCCGGTGGTCAATTGTCCTGCTTCTCCGCCTACGCTTCCCTCCCCCATTATCCTGACCTCTTCCAGGCTGCCCGCTGCCTAGTCCTCCCGATCATCGCCTCCCGCCTTCCCCTGTTCGCCCCTCCACTACATGACAGCTAGAGGCGAAGCTGTTGTTGTTTATCGAGTGTCGCAGTCAGCAATTGTTCACGCTTTGTTTTGCTTCAGTCGCGCTCCGACCAACCAACCTCTCCCTCCCTCGCTCCTTCCCTCTGATACTCTTGATCCGCATCCTGCTCCTCGGCATCTTCCTCCCTTTCCCCCGATCCAAGTTCCTGCTCCCCCCTCCTCGTTCGCCTCCTGGTCCTTCCTCCCTGCCTCCGCCTCCTTCCTTCTCTCTCTTTCTCTCTTATCTCCTCTCTCCTCTGCCCTCAGTGGCCGCCCCCACTTGGCCGCCTTTCCGGGGCACTGGAGGCGCACTTGTGCAGTGCCCGCAGTCTAGTCAAACTAGTTCTCTCTCCCCCTCTTCTTCATTCTTTCTGTTGCGCCATTTTACCCCTGGACCTCTCCCGGGTACGCTTTGGCTAGAATATCTAGGGGATTTTCCGAGTGCATATTTTGAAGCGCGACTGCTTGTGATACCCTCCCTGACGATCGTCTCGCTTGTGTTCTGCCGCGAGCTGGAGGCAAAGGCAACAGCACGAGTGCTGGCCAACGGAAGCCCGAGTGACCTGTCTTTCAGCACGTCTTCAGCTGCTACTCGAGCCAGGACTGCCTGATCCAAAACGGCTAACGATGCGGTAGAGGGACGCGCAGGGGAGATTCTGGCCGAAGTGCAACTTATCAGACCCACCGCAAATTTTGATCATTATGGGGAGGGGGAGGCGTTGACAGATGAATGTGGTATGAGTGTTCGCTATTTTTGTCCGAGGCCTGTAGTGACAACGCGGGGCACGTGACAAATCCAGATGTATATATATATATATATATACACACATATTTCTCTGATCTACGCATGAACCTCAAGTGCCTTCCGTTCATACGAATCGGCAGCAACCATCAGAATATGGTTTCCTGAGTATAGCCAGCACTCCCCGCACCACCTGCAGCGCCAGTGACTGTCTGACAGGTAGCGTTTGCGCGGAAGCCTCGTGAATGGTGGACAGCGAGAACCGTAGACGCTGCAATTCGAGGCACGATTTGAGTTTCGATTGGCACACGTTTTCGAACGACGTCGAAATACGATTGATCCTGGTTTCCCTTGGGAATATGAGAAGACGCACATCTTGTAGACGGGCGACCCAAGGTACCTTTGGATGATGCGGGTCACAGCTTGCACCTGCGAAGCTTCATAAGCAACAGCTGCGTTTCTGTTGTGGAGCTTACAGTGCCGTTTTTTATACGTGCTCCGTGTGCGGATGATGTATTTTAAATGCAGGGATTTAGTAATAAAAGCAACGGTGAGTTCATGCATATTTTTTCATAAACTAGTCATGTAGTAAACATCCGATACGTTTAAACATCCCATGTATTAAAAGCTGCCCTGTAATCCCGATGTGTGTCGGAAAGACAGACCAAGTAGTGCAGTGTGGAAATGCATCCCTACTCATTCGCAGGACGCCGTAATCCTGGGCGGCAGAAGACCGCATACCAACGCATGCGGGCAGCCAAGACAAAGACATCTGGAGCACGCCGCCGTGTGCTCGACGTTCAAGACGCTCGCCGCAATCTCTTGCGGAGAAGCCCCGGCGAGGTCCACACCGAGCTCTTGCTGGGAGCCCGCAAGGGTGTTGAACAGCCAAACGTTGGCTCCTATCAGGAGAGCAGCCAAGGGTTCTGACATACCTCCGCCTTGCCCTAGCCCTTCCTTTGTTTCGACAATCGAGCACCCCAATTGTAATAATGGTGGGACACCTCAAACCCCGCCATGCAGTGGATCTGGTCAAGAGACACCACGTCGCAGTCATACGCGTGATGCTTTACGTCTCCACCATGGTGTGGCGCCCTGGTGCGACGCCGCGGAAGCGTTGCAGTTGATTTACTTGTCAGCAGTTGGACGCGGTCGCACAGGTCATTGGCAGCCTCGATCGTGGCAGCGCAGCCTGCGTGGGAAAAGAAAGACCTGCCATCCACGCGGCCTGAAACGACCTGTTCCGTTCTCACTCTCCGGCACTTCTGGCATACCAGCGGGTGATCAGATGAATAATGGCGCGCGAACCTCTCGCGGCTGACCTTCACTATGTCGGTCGTGCTCTATGACGTCCAAGAGTTGTGTATGTTCAAGCTTCTGCAGGGACCGCAGGGCTGGGTCAGCGAGCCTGCTCTTTGGTTTCGGCAGCGTCGCCTTGCAAAGACTTGCCGATCGTGCTGGTGATCTCGGGTGCTGTTGAAACGGCCTGACGGATCACCATCATGAAAGCAATATCGCTTAGGATTTAGCATGCACGTCGCCAATCCACTGTCGTCTCCACGATGACAGCCCAGGAACTTACCATTTCTCAGGCACGCATTTGTCTTGCATCAGTTTGATCATACTAAAATTATGTTGATGAGAATGTGGACCCTGGCATTGCCTTTGTTTCTGTTTGTCTTGCAATGCAATTCCGAAGCTGTACAAGATACCCGACCCTTAACCGAACAATGCCCGGCATTCGTATCGTGATTGTCCACGCAGACCACCTCATCCGAGGACAGCTGGCAATCATGTTCGAGGTCGTAATACTCAAGTGGCGGGTCAACATCTCACAGCACATTGCATCCACGTCTTCAATTGGGAAACCCCAGTGAGCAACCCACCTTCGGAATTGCCAGTGCGCTTGTAGTCTGACGTCGTGTGGGGCGGCCCATGTAGGCGCAATTCCATTTTAATATGACGAGCCAGCAGTCTTCGTGGGCTCGCTGGCGATTAATGCAAGTCAAGGAGCAGTTCCAGGTCGAATTTGCGAGTTGCAGAGCGATGGCTCGTGCTGCGTGCAGCGAACGTTCTGGGTGACGTTGCATACACGTGTGTGCGGGACAGCGCGAATTTTGCGAATTCCTTGTTCGTTGTTCGCAAGTATGGTTTGAAGTGCTGGCGGACTCGGACGACTGTGGCGCAACCCGGTGTCGCAAGATGTCTACGCGGACACATCGGAGATTCGTCGCTGGTACGCTCACATCCGCCACAACAGCCTTTTCGTTGCACAGAAACGGCGAACGCCACACAAGAAACGCTTGACAAGTTTTACACAAGTCGAGCATGTACACCTCGACATCGGCAAATTTTGCCAATTGCTCGATCCGTAGCTTCCCATGCACGGATCCCGCCCACTCGGCAAGTAGATGCGGGAATTTTCATATGTTGGTTGGGCCTACGCTGCCGCAGGCCTGAACACACAGAACACCCGTTTCAATTTGCATGTTCGCCAACATTTGAAATCATCTCCGTGCGCAGAGACCGTAGCCGGATTGACCATGCTTCTGTGTGTGATCATGTGTATGTTGTGTTGAAGATGATGTGGGCCATTCGCAGAGGGACGTTGTCTTCGAAAAGGTCTGGAACGTTGACGTTTTGAACCATCCTCACTCCGACGTCGAGGCTGCTTAGCACGACGTTGTCGCGTATGTCTGCATCGGGGCTTTGAGTCGATGAATGAGAGACTGGTCTGACGCCAAGACGTTCGGCTAGCGCTTGGTGACTTGGAACACCATGAAGTCAAGCGGTTCGATCGGAAACTTACCCCAAGCACGGTACCGACGCTGCTGGTGGAGCGGATGGTTCTATCGACGGGATGTTTCATGAATTTCGGTAAATTGATGCACCTCCCAGTTCGCAGGGAATCTGTTCTCAGAGATTTAGCCTCTTCCAGGCCTCGGACAAAATTAGCGAACACCCATGCCACATTCATCTGTGAACGCCTCCCCCTCCCCCCAATGTTCAAAGTTGGCGGTGGGTCTGATGAGTTGCACCTCGACCGCAGTCTCCCCCCCGCGTGCCAACTTTGAGTTTGGGGGGCAGGGGGGGTGTTCACTAATTGTTTCCCTCTACCGTCTGTCTTGTGCAGCATCGGCCTTCACCCCCTTCGATTGGCGCTGCGGATCTGCGTCGCCATCTCTCTTCTCCTCTACTGCTCTCGATGCGAACGGCTCGCGCGTGAGATAACACCATGCTCATGGAGTTGTGTTTTCGTGGAAGCAAGTTCAGCCTCTCCTGTCTGCCAGATTGAGTACTGTAGAGTTTAGAGGAGTTGATACGGTGTACGCCGAGGCCAGAGGAGGACTCGGAGGGACGGAACCCATACTGCCAGACATCCCCCAAAAACGTGCGGCACTCCATGTACCAAGATGGCATGGTCTCAGATGGAAGCGTTGTTAGGAGAATGGCAGTGCTCTGGGAAGTTTGCCTATTAAAGTTTTCAAGGACAGCAGCCGCATACAGCACAGACCAGCCATGTGAGACACGAAACATGTTTCTGGAACGTGTTTTGATTAGTTTGTTTGGTATGTCTTGTATGCAGGATTTTTGGTATGTTTTTTGTTTTCAGAAAAAAGAAACAAAGACAAAACAGCAGACATATTGCACGTCTGGTCAAGTGTTTTTTTGCAGAAACTCTTTGACCACAAAACCCTATCCTTACGCCCTCGGCGGAAGACGGCGGAAGGCAGCGGAAGTTGACGGAAGTTGATCGAAGAGGAGTCGTGGTAGAAGAGAATGAGGAGGGAGAGAGCGAACAGATCAGGCATGAGGATGATTATGTGGCAAGACAATGCCGATGGGCTCGGGATGTTGAGAGAGGAGGAGGAGGAGAAGGAGGAGGACCAGAGTCAAGTTGATCTCTCTCTCTCTCTCTCTTTCTCTTTTTTATTATCGCTCTCTTCTCTCTCGCTGTACAATTTTTATATATAATTATATAAATGATTCGGAAATGAATTCCTTCCCGAAGGCGCCGCATTAGAAGTCTGAAGTCCCCACAAGCCTTCCTTTTCAACACAAGGCGCCCCCTTTGAACGACCAGCTCCCGTTGAGCCTGCCATTGATTCACGCGAGAGCCTCGCTCTGAGAAGGAGTTGCACCGCATTTACCGAGCGAGCGATTAGTAATGGCGAAAGGTGTGCCCAGTGATATTACCGTCTTGAAGGCGAATCGTCCCTATCTTTCCAATGGTCGCACAAGCTCAAACTTCTTGCCAAGCACTTCGATCAGTGCTCGAGCGAGGGCCCCAGTATCACAATAAACCGCCCTACGTTTAAGTCGGGCCTGTCCCTCCACAGGAGGATTTTTTCAAAATTAGTCTAAACATAGTCTGGGGGCGAGGGAAAAAAGGTCAGCCCGCCCCGTCGACGTGTCTTGTGGTCACGCGAGGAGGAATTATCCAGACCGGAGAAAGATGGAGGGATCATGCGGTCGGGGATTTTTGCCCAGCATGTCGCGCCGCCTGTTCTGGCCCACCCCATTCTGGCTCGACACGCTATCCACGTCCCAGTCCCTGAGCGTCAACGTTCCGAGCCTTCCCCAGCCTCCCGCCACGCGAGGCGAAGCGACGCGCTATCTGCTCGCAGGGCATACGCCGTGTCGCCGGGGCCTCCGCCGCGACACCCTGAGCACACGTTCCAGGCCGCCCCTCTAGGAAGCAACAGGGCTACAGGGGATCGTGGTTGTGATTGGTAAGGCTTCGGGCCGCCGATAGACAGCCCCCCCCCCGAGGAGTCCCAGCTGGCCTTGGCCCAACAGGCCCCCCGAGCAGCCCCAGCTGGCCTCAGCGGTCCCCTCCAGCGGTACCCTTCGGGGCGCGCCGCGCCCCAGGACCTCTGAGGCTCACCCGTAGGAAGCCCGTACCCCCCCCCCAACCGAAATCGGGGTCTTCGGGTTGGGCTGGGGTGGCCTGGTAGGCAGTCACCGCCCGCGCCGCCCCCCGCGGCAGCGGACACGGATCGGCCTTCGCGGGGGACGACTCCTTCGATTACAGCAGCCTGGGCAACTGGACCGCCGCATGCGGGCGGGGGCGCCGAAGGGAAGGTGTGGGCGGAGGGCGAGGAGGAGGAGGAGGAACTTGAGGAGGACGAAGGGAAGCCCGAGGGGAAGTAGGGCAGGAGGAAGAGGTGGATGGTGAAGAGGAGGATGATACAAAAGATGAGGATGAGGGTGAGGTTGAGGATGGAGGTGATGATGATGCTGATGATGATGATGATGATGATGATGATGATGATGAGGATGAGGATGAGGATGAGGATGATGCTGATGCTGAAGATGCTGATTATGATGCTGAGGTTGCCGATGGTGATGCTGGTGATGCTGATGACGAATATGATGCTGAACATGATGTTGAGGATGATGCTGTTGATGACGATAACCACGATGCTGATGATGATGTTGATGATGATGACGATGATGATCACGACGACGATCATGATGATGCTGTTGATGATGATGCTGATTTTTATTGTGATGGTGATGATGTTGGTGATGTTGATTCTGAGGTTGATGCTGGTGATGCTGATGATGGTGAGGATGACTGATTATGATGATGCTGATGATGTTGATGATTATGATACTCGTGCTGTTGCTGATGCTGCTGCTGTTGATGACGATGATGCTGATGCTGATTATGGTGGTGGTAATGGTGATGACGCTGTTGATGATGATTGTGATGGTGATGACGATGACGGTTGACGATGATAATAATGTTGATGATGCTGTTGACGACGACGACGACGATGATGATGATGTTGATGATGATGATGCTGATGATGATGGCTGATCGTGTTAGTGATGCTGCTGATGATGATGCTGCTGTTGTTGCTGTCGTTGGTGATGATGATGCTGATGATGATAATGATGACGCTGGTGCTGGTGCTGGTGATTGTGATGGTGATGGTGATGATGGTGGCGATGGTGGTTGGTGTGGGTGGAGATGGTGATGATTGGAGAGAGCGCGATCTGCCGTCGCTTGACTTGGCAAATGCCCTTCCCTCCGGGAAACGAGGGGGGGAGGGGTAGGGGAATCCCCCCCCTGCACCGGAAACCCTGGGGGAGAGGAGGGGGGGGACCCCCCTTCCCAGAAGCCGAGGGGGGGGGGGCTTTTAGGGCTTGAGGATCCAGCTGCATTGAAATCCTCCCACGAAAGGGGGGAGCCTCTCAACCCCGCACCCCCACCCAATCCCGCGGTTCCAATCGGGGCAGAAGGTGGTTCCGTCCCCCCCCTGGTTCGAAGTGGGAGGCTGGTTTACCCCCCCTTCCCCCCCCCGGTTCGAACCAGGGGGGTGGGCTTGCCAGTAGCGGCCTTTTCGCGCATTGTCACGTTGGTGGTGGAAGTGGTGGTGTTGATGACGATTTTGATGTTGATGATGATGGTGGTCAGAGGCGGACGAGATTGATGATGATGATGAAGAGGAAGGTTGGGTGCAGGGTGACGAGGAGGAGGCGGAGGAGGAGAAGGTTGAGGAGCAAGACCATGAGGAGGAGGGGGAGGACGATGAGGAGAAGGAGGAGTGAAGGACGAGAAGCTGAAGAGGAGGGTGGGGATGAGGAGGAGGAGGGGGGAGATCAACGATAATGACGATGAGGAGTGTAATGCTGAGCATGGCGATGGTGAGGGTGATTGTGAGGTTGGTAATGTTGTTGACGATGGTGATGCTGATGATGATGATTATGATGATGCTGCTGATGATGATGATGATGATGATGATGTTGATGATGATCATCATGCTGATGATGATGATATTGATGATGACAATGACAATGACGATGCTTATGATGATGGTTGTGGTGATGACGATGATGATGCTGATTTTGTTGATGATGATGATGATGATGATGATGATGATGATGATGACGAGGATCGTGCTGATGATGCTGATGATGATGACCAGGATGACGATGGCGACGACGATGACGATGATGATAATGCTGATGCTGATGATGATAATGATGATGATGATGATGATGATGACGATGACGATAAAGACGACGCCGTCGACGACGACGATGCTGCTGATGATGTTGAGGAGGATGGTAATCATGTTGAGGATGATGATGCGGACGACGACGATGATGATTCAGCTGATGTTGATGATGGTGACGGTGACGATGACGGTGGCGATGACGATAAAAGACGACGACGTCGTCGATGACGACGATGGTGCTGATGTTGAAGGGGATGACGTGAATGATGATTTCGTATGCGGACTATGATGATGACGACGATGATGATGATAATGTCGGTGGTGGTGATGGTGATGAAGAGGCCAAGATGATATTATGACAATGTGATCATGCAAAACTATGACATGATGGTGATGCTGCTGCTGATGATGACAGGGGGGGAGGACGGGCCCATCCAGCGAGGGACAGCCTTTCCTGGCCCCCGCAAGCGGCGTGTGTTGGGTTGCCTCGTGCGCTTACAGTACTGAGCAGGCTCCGTTCGTCTCTCCTGCTGGTCCCGTACGCTGGAGGGCCTGGATTGTAGGGGTGCTCACTCTGCAGGCGGTTTTCCCGCCCTCCAGGAGGAGGAGGGAAAGGAGAATGAGGAGGAAGACCAGTGCCAACCCAAGACTCATCAACGATGTTGGAGTACACCCTCCCTCCAAGCTTTCTCTTCATAGGCCCCTATAAGGTTCACTTCTGCTGAGGGAAGTACGCTGTTGGATGACAGCCGTGTGAAAACCTCGACGCGTGCCAAAACCCCATTCTCAGGACCCCAACGCCACGAGTCAACCTGACTGTTGCGTCTTGACGGCCCTGAGTCGTGCCAGAAGACATTCTTCTTGGGACTTCACACCGCAAAGCAACGTAACGGCTGCGCCCTGCTAATTCTGATTTGCACTAAAACGCCGTTCCTGGAATGTTAGCCATGAGAACCAGCGAAATTCTGACAGCTTTTTGAACAACGAGTGTGCACGGCGCTCGGGCGTGAACCAGGTTTTGAAAACGAGCCGCCCTCAACCAGTGAAACACTCGTGCGAATCTTCAGGACGAATGCGCGTGGCGCCAAGGCGGGAACCACAGTTTGAAAGCGTCCTATCATCAACCCGCGAAACTCTCGCAGTTGTTTTCTTCTATGTGCGCGGCGCTAACGCGGGAGCCACATTTGGAAACGACCTGTCCTCACTCCGCGAAGCTCTCGCAGTTGTTTTCTTCTCTGTGCGCGGCGCTAAGGCGGGAGCCACATTTGGAAAACGACCTGTCCTCTCTCCGCGAAGCTCTCGCAAATGTTTTAACGAATGTGCGCGGCGCTGAGGTGAGAGCCACATGTTGAAAACGACCTGTCCTCCATCTGTGAAGCTCTTGCAAGTTTTAAGAAAGGACTGTGCGCGGCGCTAGGGCGAGAGCCACATTTTGAAAGCGACCCGCTGCCCATCGTTGAAACTGTTGCCAGTTTGCAGGCTCATCAGTGGTAAAGAAGTCTCAGGCGAAACGCCTGGCCCGCCCTTCTGACTGGCCCCGGGTTGCGACAAGGCGGAGTTATGCGTAAGGAGAAGGGGTGGAAGGGGGAGGAGGAGGAGAAGGAGGAGGAGGGGGAGGAGGAGGAGGAGGAGGAGGAGGAGGAGGAGGAGGTTGAGGGCCCTATAAACGGGGATTTGGACAAACCATGGCGTTGGAGCGCCCGAGAGAAACCGCTGGGGTCGGCCGGAGGCCGGATGTAACATGCAGTTGCAAGGAGGATCGGCGGGCAGGTGGGGTCATTTCGCCAGGCTCGTGGCCATTTAACCCAGCCCGCCTTGTAGTTGTGGCGCTGGTGCAGTTCAGTGGTCAAGACCCGCCTGTTCAGCGCCACCGTTCGCGCACAAGAAATGCACGAACGTTCGGCCAGCAGTGTAGCACTTGCATGGGGGGCAGGGGGCGGGGTAGCTATCACGGAGCAGGAATGTTGCCGCTGGTCTCCATTACGGTGGGGTCGTTAGTTGAGGAATGTGCCCGGGAGGCCTGAGGCCCTGGGGATGCCTTGTCTGACGATGGCGGCCGTGGTATCCATGCCCATCCACGATTGGAGTTTCCCCAGCCTCCAGACCCTGGATTCCTTCTCCAATGGTTCCTGATCCAGTGCCCTCGCCGTAGTCGAGGAGGAGGGGGAGCAGGAGGAGGTGGAGAAGGAGGAGTTTGAGGAGGAGGAGGAGGAGGAGGAGGAGGAGGAGGAGGAGGAGGAAGAGGAGGAGGAGGAGGAGGAGGAGGAGGAGGATTCTCTTCGGCCACGCGCACAGGGGAGACGCGCCCCTGCTTCTTGGAAGGCGCGGGCCTTGCCTGTAGATGGAAGGCCAGGCCCCTCCGAGAAGCAGCCTGCTTGTAAGCAGCCTTCCCCCCTCCCCCTGCCCCCCTAGTGCGCGCCGCCAATCTCTCCAGGCGGAATTTCCCAAAGTCCCGGCCGGCAGTGCCTGCGCCCAGAGGGGGCCCCGAATCTGGACGCCCGAAATGGGTACGGAAAGAGTGGGTACGATGCCCAAAAGCAGTTCCTGTTCATTTTGGACAGGACTCGCTGTCCGCACCACCACGGCCTGTGTCCATTTGAGACAGATGGCCGCTTGCCCAACAGCGGCCGTTGTTGGTTTGGGACAACATTTGTTGTTGGCCATTGTACCCATTCTTTCCGTACCCATTTCGGGCGTCCAAACCGAAGGGAGGGTGCGCGGAGAGGGGCGGCCCCCTCCCGTGCCTCGCGGTGCCTCGCGCCCGCGGCGCGCGCGCGCGAGGATGGTGAGCCAGTTCCGCGCCGCGGGGCTGGGCTCGATGGTCTGGAACTTCGACGCGGAGGGGCGGGCGGGTGGCCTCGCTCCCTCCCTCCCTCCCTCCCTCCCCTCCCCTGCCTCCCCTCCTCCCTCCCGCCTTCCTCCCTCCCGCCCTCCCTCCCTGCCTCCCCGCCCCCCTTCCCCCTCCCTCCCTCCCCTCCCCCTCCCCTCCATCCTGGCCTCTCCCCCTGCCGTGGGGGTCCCTCCCTCCCCGCCCCTTCCCCCTGCCTCCTCCCTTTCCCCTGCAGCGAACAATGAGCAGCGTGATGATACCTGAGGTTTCAAGAGCGGTGTGCTGAGACCTGCGGGTTCACCTGCTGTTTTCCTTTCGTCCCAAAGAGGAGGATACTGGTTTATCAGTCTTGGCCCAGAAGACCCTTGGCCATCCGTGTGCGGAACACGCTTTCAGCGTCACCCTGAAACCTTAGTCAAGCTGGTACGGAGCAGGCAACCAGAACGATCATGCATGCACTTGTTAAGTTACTGCTGCGATCTACCCTGCACACATTCATTACGCTCCAGATTATGTCCGTCCTCACTCCTCTGCCTCCTTGTCGTGCTCTTTCTCCTCGTCCTCCTCCTCCGCCTCGTCCTCGTCATCGGTCGGTCTGTCGGATGTAGCGCAAGAGCAGGGCGAGAGGACCACAGGGCGAAGAGCAGAGCAGGGGCAGAAGCCGAGTCAGCGGTAGGATGCAGACGCCTCAAGCGCCAGCGAGCGCAGGCAAACTCTGGCAGTAGACAGGCCGAGGGTCCAATCACTTACATTGGATGGGCATGTAGTTCAAGCGGGGGAAGGAAGAAGGAGAAGACAGGTGGGGAGAACGATAATTCCCCCTCACAGCAAGACGTGCTACTCCCCGACAGGGGAGGGCCAGACCCTGTTGGGCCACTTGCTTTTTATTCAGGAGTCCCCCATCCCTTCTCCATATGCGTAATGAACTCCTCCCTGCCGCACCCCGAGACGTGTCGGTAGGGCGGGCCGAGCGCTTCGCTTGAGGTTTACTCACCACCTACGGACCTGAGGCACAGAATTCGCACGAGCTTCACGGATGCAGGGCGAGTGGTTTTCAAGACGTGGCTCCCAGGTTTGCGCCGCACACACTCGTTCCAAAAGTTTGCAAGAGAGCTTCACGGGTGGATGGCGGGCAGTCTTCAACATGTGGCTCTCGCCTTGAGCCGCGCGCGTTCGTTTCAAAATGCTGCAAATTTCTCGCACATGGAAGCCGGTTCTCGTCTTCACACCAACATACCTATACTATATGTGCGTCGCCCCGCCGGGGGTGATGCGAGCACCGAGAAATCTTGTAGTATATGCGTCGTGGCGGGCGCTGACTGGCCACACCGCTCGGGAAACGATATACTACAAGATGGGTGTACTACATGTTTGGGTTGGACGTGCGCCTCCAAGGAGAACAGATAGTACTAGTATGTCTTTGTGCGTCCCAGGTTTCTTTTCAATTTGTGGTTGTCGCCTCAACACCGCGTACGTTCGTTTCAACGAGAGATTCACGGATTGACGGCGGGCGGCTTTCAAAATGCGGTTCTCGCTTCAGCGCGCCACGCGCATTCCTTTTGCAAACGTTCGCCAGAGTTTCACGGATTGAAGGGTGGTGGTTCTCAAGTACGGTTCTCGTTTCATGTTGCGCACGTGCGTCTTCTGGTTGACGTCCCAGAAAAAAGGACGTGGCACAGTTTAGGATTGTCGTGGCGCACCAGTCACGTATATTCGCGGTGTTGAAATCCCACGAATGATGTTTTTGCACGATGCAGGGCCGTCAGGATGCAACTCTGAATTGCATTCGCGGCGTTGAAGTACAAGGATAAGTGTTCAGGCACGGTTGAGGCTTCTTTGACGGTTGTCCTCCAGTGAGGCATTTCCAGCAGTGAACAATCCATGTTTCCAAGGATTCGAAGAGGGACTTTGGATGGAGGGACGGCCTTGGGTTTGCACTGGTCTTCTTGCTCTAGCTCCTAGTCATCCACCCCAATCCTCGTCCTCGTCGTTCTCCTATCCCTCCTCCCTCTTACTCCCTCCTCGATTTAGCTCATCTTCAGCTTCGGCATCCAGAAGGTTCTCGGACACCTTTCGTGCTTGACCCGTTTCCTTCGCCCCTTCAGATCCACATGGGGGTGGCGGAGACGGGGGCGATCAAACCGCCGCTGAGTGAGCCAAGGGGCGCTCAAAACGCAACCAAACGCGCTCAAAACACAACCAAACGTACGCGGGTGTACAACAGTAGCGGTCTCACTTGTTCTGGACCAGGCGACCTTTTTTGGTCTCACGTTGTCTTCGAGTTTCTCGCCAAACGAACCTCTTTGTCTCACTTTCTCTCAATTTGGGTCGCCCCCAGGATCTTACAATTCAATGTTTCCATATTGCTATCAACATCTTGCAAGTCTTCTCAATGCCTCTCAAGATAGTTTACGAGAACGCTACTACACCAGAACTTTTTGAGTGGCCGTTGCTCTATCAGAAAACCTTTCCGCGATGTCCTCGGGTGCGCTCAACTCTCGCCCCCCCCCCGTCGACGCCACCTCCATGTGGATCCGCATGAGTCGACTTGACACGGCGCACAGTCAAAACATTCCAATATTCCAAATCCCTTTTGAATCGACCCCCTCCCGAAAAATCTGGACCCCCCTTTCAAATGCGACCTAATATTCTGGACCCCCCTCTTCGACGGGGCGCCTCAATAATCTGGACCCCCTAAGCTACAATCCAAAGAAAGCGCCCTAACAAGCCAGACCCCCCCCAGTTACAAAAAAGGCGCCTGACAAACCGGACCCGGGGGACGATTCATAAGGGACTGGCAATCCAGTCAACGCGCCTAGTAAGGACGCACGCCTTCATCTAGGGTACCCTTGTGTCCTAGCCTCTGAGGCTCGTCCTTGCCATTATCACTGGTCGCCCGCCGCCCTAAAAAACCCAACCTCGGCCTCCAAGAGTCTTGCGTCCTTGCCACCCGTGGTTAATATACGTTTTGACTGTGCGGACCACGTTGGGCTGAGGAGTGGCTCTGGTTTTCGGGCCGCCCCTTGCGATCTTGGCCGGTTGCTTGTGCTCCGGGGCTCGCCGTGGCCAGAGACGCCCCTGCGTCCTCCTCGATGCGCCGTCCCTGTAGCGCGATGGCTTTAGACATTACAAGCTATTGTTATGTCGGGCGTGTCCCTCTACAGTCGGGGGTGCACAGAACCCCCAACAGCGACACGTCGATTAGTGATAGTGAATTGTCTGTTTTCGGTTCTCGAGAGGGCGCCGCGGCCGTTATTTGCCAGGCTTGCGCCTGCCAGGTTTGGGCTTCAGGTCGTTTTCACTAAACCACGTTTTACTAAAGGGGGGTCTGTCCATCCCCGATACAGGAGGAATACTCAAAAGTAGCAGAAAAATCGTATGGGGACGAATTTGTTTCGTAATTTTTGGGCCATTCTGGCCTGCGGTTTCTCGGCCTCCCGTCCCCCTGCTGCTGCTTTGCTTGCATGGGCCTCCTTTCCCTCTGCTTTGCTGCCTCCTCGCTCGCTCGCTTTCCTGCCTCTCTCCCTGCTGCTCTCTGCTCCTCCCCTTTCTCCCTACCGCCTGCTTCCTTCTCTCTGCTTCTGCTGCTGCTGTCCATGCGTTTTCGCTGTCCTTGTTGACTCTCGCACTGTGAACTATAAATGTACCCACCCCGTGCTTCATCACAGGCGGCCCCATTCTAGTGGCATGGGTTGGCATTGCTGCGTTTGATCAATCAGCTGGGCATAGTTGGTGTTCGCCGGAAAGAAAAACAAATGTTGTTTTTTCGTGCCGTCCAAAATCTTTCTGTGTGAGGACAGGCCCGACTTAAGACAGTTGGCGGTCCGCGCGGACTCCCTTGGGCAGGCGCAGACATGGGGGTGCGCTCCCGCGGCTTTCCAGCGCTGGCCCAAAATAGATCCACCCGCTTCCTGGTGCAGATATCGAGGTGGTTGGTGCTTCACTGGGTTGGGCTTGTGAAGGTCCGACTGCTTTTCGGCGCTAGCCCAAGAGATCCACCCGTTTCCCTGTGAAGAAGTCAAGGTGGTTGGTGCTTCACTGTGTTGGGCTTCCAGCTCCCCATGCCGTCAACGGGAAGACCCTCTGGGAAACTGGTCCCCGGGATGAGTTCCAGAGGTACGGGGGCCAAGTCGAAAAGCATCGCATCGGGACGTCGCGAGGAGGAGGAGGAGGAAGGGGAGGGGGAGGAGGAGGAGGAGGAGGAGGAGGAGGAGGAGGAGGAGGAGGAGGACGAGGAGGAGGAGGCGGAGGCGGAGGAGGAGGGGAGGAGGAGGAGGAGGAGGAAGAGGAGGAGGAGGAGGTTCAACACGTTCGAGCTTCGAGGAGGATGTTCTTCTGGCGTCCTGGGCTTTCAGGGGCGCGCTCGCCGCCACAGCCTCTGCGGACGCCCGGCGGAATCCCAGCCAGGACGTGCCAATGGATACGGCACGCTGGGGTAATGGCCCCTTGGGGTTCAGGAGGTGTTTTGGTTTTCGGGCCGTTGGTCGCGAGCGGCAAACGTATCCATGTCCACGCCCTCGCGGTTGGGGCTCCTGGGCGCGACCCCGTAGATGCGCGGTCGCATGGGCACGTTCTGCGTGGGGCGTCCGCGAGAAAACGCCTCGTGTCCACGGGGTCGTGGCCCAGGGACCAGACCCGCGAGGCCGTGGATATGGACATGTTTCCCGCCCGCGAGTTCGTCACCCATCAGTCCCTGAATGTACACATTTTGGGATTATTCGGTCGTCTTCTTGTTTCTTGAATCGAGCGATTTTCCCTCCCCTCTCCTGGTGGCGGGCGGGGGGACCCAAGCGCCTTGCTACATCGTGTTTCTATTCCCTTCTTCCGGTCGATGGGAAGGCCAGGTCGGGGACTGAGACGCACCCGTGGCCAGGAAAACCCTTTGTTTCCTTGCTTGGCGTCGTTCATCCTAGCAGGTTGGCTGCAGGTCTGGGGTGCCGATCCCGAGGAGGACCCAGATCTCTAGCGACTCGAAAGACGCGTCGTGGCGGAACTGTTTTCTGTCC